CTTTTGGCACACAACTAAAAATGGCTATGCAAACTTGAAGAGTTACATAGTTACTTAAAGAGATATTTGGTTTCTTCGAATAGGAATGTTTCAGACAGAACAGAATACGTTTTTCATATTATTGTTTTCTGATAAAGTTGCAGAAAAATAATGTTGGTTAATGAACACTGTTTATGAACTTCAAATTTGGCAAGGCAAGGTACTTGTAGTCTCAAAAAATTATTTACGAATAATTATATATAAAATATTAATTTCAAGACCACTGACGATTGGTATTTGGCAATACTCGAAACAGCCAGCTATTCAATTAAAAATAAAAAATTTTATTGTTGTAATTTACTACTGTACCCTGAAGATGACTATCAAAGATAGTCGGAATATTGAAATATCATTTTAATAAAATATAAATATTTGTAATATAAATAATATATAATAGTTTTTTATTAATTGACCACATAATACAACCAATAATTATTAAATAATTAAGGACAAAAATAAATAGCACTGATAACTAAAAAATTCAACTGAAATTCATACTTTGATTATAGTAAAAAAAAATTTCGAATAAAATTTTTAACTATATTTCTATTATTTCTTTTTTTCAATAAGTTTTTATACCCATAATATTGTTAGTATACAACATAAAATAATGTAATTTATTATGTTTAACAACATTGCGCATTGACATATATAAAATGTAAAAAATATTATCTTTAAGTTTTTAATGATATATTCTTTGTACGTTAAACAATATTGTTGTATCATATTAATATATTAATTTATAAGCATTAGGATATTAAGTCAATAATGACTGATTTTACAGTCATTGTTTAGATCTCAATACTGAATAAGTCATGCTTAAGTCATCAACTTTTCTGTCTTGATTTAATCATAAGTCAGTTTTAAGTCTTAACATATGACTGTGAAATCGGCCAAAGAGAATTCAATCCAAAAAATAAAAAAACTAAATAAAGCTTCATTATTGATACCAAGGCTGTCGACGCACCCATTGTAAACGGTTGCAGGTTTGGTCAGAGCGTATCTTGATACTAGCACCTTCAGCAGCACGTACTGTTTCCTTGACCTGCATTTGTATGTCTTAATTAATTACAAAAGCTCGTTAATTATATTACTTACACTCTGCATAAGATTTTGCGCATTGCCAACCAACATTTCTGTAGCTTCGCGATCCTCATCGGATCCCTGAGCACCTAACATTGTTGCTTTTACTGTTGATAGAATTTTTAGTTGTGTGCCTATAGTAGGAATGCGTTCACAGACTTGCAATAAATTGGTACGTATACGTCGATCAGTGCATTGGCGTGCTAATTCCTTTGCCAATCGCGTTACGTCTTCAGAAGCTTCAGCAATTTTTTTGGCTGTTGCGATTAATTCCCGTTTACTACCTTTAGAATCAGAAAGCACCAATTCACTTAAGCGCGCCATTAGTATAGCCATTCGCTTAGCGGCAGCTATTATTTCGTTATCTTTGGAAGACCATTGTCGAACTTCTTGATGCAAACCGCGTGCAGCAATCTGTTAAAAAAGATTTGTTATGTAAGTTTTAAAATAGCGTGCAATTTAAAATTTGATTTTTACCAAAATTGGTTGATTGGCGTGAGGCATTGTACGAAATACTCCCTCATCTTCATCATCCGTTTCAGCTGGTGGGGGACGTACAGGTGCTAAACATTCACGAGGAAGTGGTGGGCGAGGTGGTGCGCGATCAACTATAAGGAAAACAGATAATGCAATTCTTAAATACTACTTATTTTAATTAGGTTTATAAATCTTATCTTCTATTGATAAGTAAAAAAGAATAATAAATATGTTATAATTCTTACTATTTAGATTAGATATGTGTAAAGTACTTATTTCCGGAATAATGGGTGGTAACGAAGTTGGTAGTGTTGGAGGAACTGGTGGTGATATAGCATCTCGCACATCTTGTACATCCGCAAGTAGCTTATATGGGAAAACTTATTAGAATAAGTATTTTGAAGGAAGATCAACTAACACTTACCCTTTGGAATGATTGCTTCCAAGCATGGGTAGCTGTCAAATCGTTAATATTGCTTGCAACTCGTTTAGCATCACCAACCATTACAGGTAATGAGCTTTCTAGGCGATTTATACTGGTATTCAGTTTAGCGGTATACAGAGGGTCCTCTGAATTATCACCTTCCTGTTTAGCTACTAACAACACACGGTTAATGAGACGTGCTATATTCGAGGTGTTGTCAACTAATTTTTGAGGTTGCTTTGCGTGTATGGCATCTTCACATAACTTAGCATACATTTGCATGTGTTCCTCAGACGTTTTAATAAAATCGGTAGGATCAGTAGCTTGATCACATAGTGTGCGCATTCGCAATACGGTATCTGCATATTGTTGCTTAAGATTCTGCAAATGTTCATCTGCTGCTTTGCTAGCTGGATAATTCATTCGTATACGACCGGCGTTAATCAACTGAGGTGTAAGAGAATCGACTTGTGCAGCTGATGAAAGCAACATTTCTGCTAACTTTTTATTGCCGCAAGCACCTCCAGCTGCAACCATTCGCGAGGTTTTTGAAGCTCGATCGCTAAAATTCTGTAGATTATTCGATTTTTGATTAAAATTTTGCTCGCGACCGGGTGCTACTTCTGACAGCATCACAGCTTCAGAAAATTGCTTTAATGGTGTGCTGACATCCATAAAATCTTGGACAATTCGATTAACAAGTGCATTTTGTACTGCTGTCTTTAATTCATGCAATTTTTGAGTTAACTTCTTAGCAGCCTCCTTTGCCGCTGGAGAATTACCAGCAGCTTGGCGTTTCAAACGATCAACTTCATCACAAAGTAGCATTATTTCTGCCTTTTGGTGTCCTGGGCATCCATCGGCTACCTTACGACCTTCTTCTACAATCAAATTTATGGCGCGGTCACCCAAACCACCATCATTAATTTCTGGATTCTGTAGCCATTTAAGTGCTTGATCTAATCGTCCCTGAATAGTGTGCGCTGTTTGCTGTACGCCCGCTTTGTCAACATTAATGACGGCATTTTGAACAAGTGACTGCAAATTAAAGAGCTTTTGTCTTGTGTTTACTGCAAGTGATTCAGCTTGATTTGATGTGCCTTTACCGTCTTGACGTAATTCACATAAGCCGTTCGTCATTGCTGTGATTTCATCTGCTAATTTGCGTACTGGATAAGAATCTTGTGGCAGACAACGCTCTGAAATTTCATTAGCATTGTCAATTATTTGTCGTAATGCTTTTTCTCCGACACCACCTCTTAGTGCATATGGATTACCTAACCACTCATTCGCTAGTTCCGCTTTATTATTTATAGCATTGGTAAGTTTTTTCAATACCGTCAAGTTATCCAATTCGCTAGTATCTTCGTCATAAGTTGTTAATTGAAGTACTCGAATAATTTCTTGCATTTCATCGCTCATGCGAGATGATAAATAATTTCGATTTTCAGCAGCTTCTTCAACCCCTTTGCCCTGTTGCTCTACAATGTGTATGTAAACTTTCATGCTGCAAATAAGAATCGGCGCAAGTATCTTTACTTGCTCAACACAGCGCACTAATATTTCACTATGTACTTGATGGGTTAATTCCTTTTCTCGTACACTTAGTTCCCGTGATACTTTACTCAAACAGGGGGACAAATCTTTTAGAAATTGAACTAAATCCTCCATTGTATTTATAACCTCAGCAACTGCTAAATAGTCCAGAACTCGTTTACATTCTTGTATAATTTTTCTCACTTCTGATTCGTCGAAGCAGAGCAGAAGCGATGAGGTGCCTTGAAGAATACCCCGACTTCCTTCAATTAGTTTCTTACGAGCAGGTCCCGAATAAGGGTCAGAACTTAACATTCCGGAAGCTTGTTCAAGTAACTGCGAAGCAGTTTCTACACGTTGTAAAGCTGCTGGCATTTCTTGTTTTAATATGTTATCATCAGAACTATTTATCGTTTCACGTCCAACCTTTATTAAATTAGCTACTGCCGCTGATACCACTTGAACTGGCCGGCTAAGGTCAGGCATAGCATTACCATCTTCAGCTTCTTCATGTAAAATAACTAACCGAGAAACCTAAACAAGAAAAAAACAATTATAATTGATGAATTCAATAATTATACAGCTGGTTTATGATGTCGTTTTAATATAACACTACATATAAATTAGTTGGTGAAAACAAAAAAAAAATGACAAAACTTGAAGTAACTCAACATAGGTTTTGGGTGATATACTCTGACTCCAAGCTAAAAATTTGAATATAATGAAATAATTGTAATGAAATAATATAATATAATGAAAATTGTTATTAGAATGAAATATGTTTCGTCAAAAAAACATTCTAGCATTATATATACAAACCAACTTTATTAATTTCATGTTTGATTAAAATAAATATGTGGCTATAGACACCACTTCTCAGTTAAAACTAGTAAAAATGTTTTATGTTAGTAAACGAATATAGCAAGCATAAATATACATTTTGAATATGAAATTACGGACCGTCAAATAAAATTTTGAAATTTAAATTTTATATAATTTGATCCCATCGTCAAATTACTTACATTAATACTTAATGTTAGTAAGAATTACATATTAATTAATAAAATACGTAAACATTACACATATAAATAATTCTGCAAATATTTGAAATAGATCGCATTTTAGGGACCTGCTTTAATAACAGATTCATAACGAATTCCTCTTATGAATTCAGGCCACAAAATGTTACATCTATCAATAAATCCAGTGGAAGAGTCGTAAGTTCTTATATGGAATCGGCCAAATTTTCAAAAAAAAAACACAACGTGGCTTAGAATATTTTATTAAATCGGTAATCTAAAAAACGTTTTTTGGTGACAACATTGCTGTACAAATTGTGTTTTCACCCGAACATAACAATAGAATCAGTAAATAATCTTAAAACCATTAATGAAACAAAAAAATACTATTATGTTTTAGCGGCTTAAGGTATTTATCTTAAAACTTAGAAGATATAATGGTTCATGTAATTATCCGAAGACTAGACAAAGCTTCACACACAGGTTTCGAGCAATATTTAGATAACACTTAAAGGATAATTTATTTCGAATAATAGTTTTAAATGAAAGGAAATCTTAAGGCATCCGAGTTAATGACGAAAGCAAGCAGTAAAGATATCAAATTTTAACACACAACTACGGATTCAGCAACAATATAAATAAATGCAATAACATTCACAGTTCATTTCATATCAATTTCATGCAGAAGAACGACTTGTTAAAATGTTATAAAATGTACATAATTTACATGAAGTGTGACCATACTGGATTGCAACATTCCATTAGGTGTTGCACCATATGCTAAAGAAGACATAATATGCTGTTACACCAATACAACAGACAACCAGCTTGAACACCAAATCATAGGTTGGCTGAAAATACCTTGAAGTACCTCCATGAATAACACTGATATCATCTTATAATCATGTAAGCAAGATTGTTAGCATCTAGTTCTAAAGATAAAATCGAGTGCCAGAGCAGTAGCTAATGCAAGGTCACAAGTAATTATTGTGACTCAACCACAGTATCCAGCCATGGTCTGCAAGTAAGCTCTAGCTCAATTTGCATCGAAAACATAGGGATTGGGTTACATTGAGTTACAAAAGTCACACGACAGTATCTGTATAATCACAAGTGACACAGTTTTCGAAGTACTTGTAATACCCAAAATCGTATCTAATCAACTAACCCAGCATTTGGCAATTTCAGATTGAAAACTGCCCAGTTACATCCAATTAGCAGATCCTACATTCTAAGGGTTTGATCAAATTCATATTATATCATAAGCGTTTAAGTCCTAGTCAAATTCATTCTAAGACTACTGACTTTTATAATAACTAATTGGTGTAAGTTACTTACTTTCATATGAATATCATGATTTTTTGGTGTCCGAAAGCATTTTTGTTTAGTTCCTATAGTCATCAATACTAAAACCGTTGACTTTGTAGACTTCGTTGCAAACTGGCTTCACAGAAATTTGTTTTTTTTACAATTTCAGCAATCTTTGTGTACATCCTTTGTAATTGTCTACATACGATACCATTATTGGAGGTGCACGTCTGTCTAAAACAGTAACAGCATTAATATCGGGTGCTTTCTTTTGTTCACAGTTGCTATTATTTGTTTCACATTCAGGTGAAAACTCAGTTTTTCTCTTCTTACTTGGTTTCGACTTTTTTACAATCAGTTTCCCAGGCTAATTGTTCCTCATCAGTTTCTTACTCATGGGGTTTTCTGCTTGAATCTCATTTTGGTAAGTTTTGAGTAGTATCTACTACTTTTACCCGAGAGTTTTCGCATTTTGAGTTATTTTTTGTTTCAGCTTTTCGCAAAGTATATTCGGCTTTGGATTTCTATAAACAATTTATTTGGTTTTTGTGTGCGTTGATCGTATTGGTCATCTCTGGTTTCACCACTTGAGATGGCAAACCCCCTCCCGCCATACTTATTCATAAAAGAACTATGACTTTGATAGTGCTTTAACGAAAGACATCTAATGACTTATTTTATTTAAAATAAAACATTTGAAATAAAAATAAAATTTATAATACTAAAAATATCTTAGCGTACTTTTAGCGTTAAATAGAACATATCGAGTTTTTGTATATACTGGCAAGAACACTAATTACAAGAGGACTTCTCAACTGATCTTTTTAAAAATTTGTCTCCAAAAACATTAGACCGATCAAGAGGAACGCTTTGTGTTAGTTCTCTATTTTTGCATTTGCTTGTAAATTTGATACAAAATGTATACATTTTTAACTGAAGAGAAAGATTGCAATATTTGTTTGCCTTTGATTTGTGTTTTGCTATATTTTTTTTCTTTTGGAGATACAGTCAAACTTTCTACTCTTAACGCTACTCTTAACGTTTATATTGAGTTTGACAATGAAATGTGTATATAAGGCTTTCCTACAGATGACGATATTATTGGGCATTATTGCTCCGAATTAGTGGATCCGATTCTAAGCGCAAGTTTGACTGTACTTTAACACTGTGCGTAGTCAGAATTCAGTTACACTTGAACATTGTTTTAAAATATATTACTTGTATTAATATAAAATTTTAATGCGTATTGTTTTACTTGCTATATGTAAAGCGACCATTCTGGTGCTTTTTACAAAGCACCATTGTTTTTTGTGATAGTTTATAATTATTTAAGTATGAAATTTGCAAATAAGAGTGAGTAGGAACCCTTTATTCACAAGCCACGCTCGCATCATATCTTACTTTGATAGGACTATATTGTAAACGTAATATGAACATGAACTTGAAATCCCGTTACCGATAGATGCGAGAGGGAAGAGAGTGTGACGTTAATTTATGAATTTCAAGCAACTAAATTTGCTTAAATCTGCTTTTTTTCAGCTTGACACGCATACATATATCGTTACTCAAGAAATACCGGAGTAACGAATACAAACTTTTTATTGTATTCGTTACTTTTACTCATTTTACCAATGAGTAGTATTTGTTATAACTACACTTTCGAGTACTTGGTAACGATTATTTTTAAGCAATTGTTTTCGCGGTATAATAATAACTACTTTATTTTGAACAAAATTTTTCTTAGCTATCAAATTCATTAAAAATGTTTAAAAACATTAATATATAAAAAGTGAAATTTGGATTCATTTAGGAAGTGAAAAGCTAAAAGCAAAATATGCGGATCAAATAATTCACTTAAATAATAATTCTAATTCATTAAATCTATAATTTATTATAATTAATATATATGCTTTTAAAAACTCCTTCTATTGCCGAAAAAAAGCATTTAAACTTCAGTAACGAAAACACAGTAACGAAAATGCACTAACGAAAACGCACTAACGAATACTGAGTAACGAATAAATACTCGAAAAGTAACGGGTTATTACAAATACGCAAAAGTAACGAAGTTGGCACCACTACCAACTGAAAAAGAAAAAGGAAGAATTGTTATCGTTTAAGAAAGAAGGTATAAATGAAAAATGGAACTTAAATGGTGCATTTATCAAAATATTGTATTCTTTTATATAAAATGACGTAAAAAGTAATAATACGTAATAATGACGTAATAATAATTAATAGTAATAATAATGCTATGTAAATAAATTAATATGTAAAAATTTAAGTTAGTAAGTTAATATGTGAATAAGTTAATATATAAATATGTTATAATATTGTTTTATATAAACATTAATATTTTAATTTTACAAAACATAAAACATAATTCATCCAAAAAAATGATTAGTATTCTGTTTAAAAATCAGTAGAAAAGGCAAAATTGAAAAGATAAATAAACATACAGCACTGATATGTTGCATTACATATGTCAAAAGGTAAGCGAACATGTTAGCGCTGAAAGTTGCATTACAGATTTGAAAAGGTAAGCGACCGATTCAGCACCCGCAATGACATGTATGTGTTTAAGTAATAAGGAGTTTCTCTTGAAAAATCAGCACAAGACATTACCATTCAGCGCTGAAGTAGTTGAATAACCATTGTAACCATACTGATAACTGAACCTAAATAAATAATAGGTTCACCACATTGCTTACATGAAACTTAACTAAATGTATTAAATTAATTTTTATCATTATTGTGACAAGTGCCATCAAGGCTTTTCTGCATGGGATTGTAAAATATTTCGAGGTAAATATAAATAGATTTATTCTAAACAAATAAGCGCATATAATCTTTGTATAAGCATAAGAGCATTGCAGTACCAAAACTTTTTTTATCACTAAATGTAAATTATCTTTTATCACTAATATGAGTTGTAAAACCATAAAATACAAATGCAATATTGTTAATAATAACATTGATCACATGCTGAATAAAGATTATTTTATCTCTTAACTTCTAAGACAATTTTTAGACAAATATTGTATGTAAACCGTAGTATTTTAAGAAATAAATCAGTATGAAACGAATACTCATTCTTTTAATTAAACATTTTGGTCCTTCGAAACCACGGAAATTGGCTAAGAAGACAATAAAATGAAAAATTCGTCAAGTAATTCCCCACCAGTGGTAAGACACTTGTAAGAAAATATAAATTTTTCCTGAAATGAAAAAATATATTAAATTAGCCAAAGTGATCCCCCACCAGTGGTAGAGACTTGACTAAATCAGCAATAATTTAGAGCCTTACAAATTATTACAAAAAAATTACAAAAAAGGATTTATTATTTTAGCTAAATAGCTAGGATTTTCAAAATATATAACGCCTTGGCTGTTCAAAAAGAACGCCCAATAACATTGGCTGATCCTAACAGCCTTTAGGGAAAAAAGGTACGTAGGAAAGTCTTCCAGGCCAGATATTAGGACGTTTTTATTTTGTTGAATAAATAAAAAATTTTTACTCATTTTTCTCATGCTTTAGATGAACAAAGAAGAAAATTTGAAAAAGGTCGAAGAATACGATCCAGATCTAGCACGCCATCATTTTTATCCAAAATACACGCCAAGTGTCATTAGAAATCAAGGTCCGGAACGGCTTAGTATAGAGGAATAGAGAAAGAGGCAAAAACCAATAAGACCACCAAGTCCGAAATCTCCAGCTAAGAAGAAAAAAAACGGGCAGGAAAGAAATTCCAAAGGAGAAAAAAGTTTGCACTTCTGTATCAGCAATTACATCGTCAAACAAATAAAGAAGAAGGTTATTAATTCAGAAAAAAAAGAACTTAAAAATAATGAAAATAAGAAATAAAAAATATTTTTGAAAATTCTAACAATTATTTTATTAAAATGGGAAATTCAAAAAGACTTACTAACAGGTCAATATCAGCTAATAGACAAGTTAGCTGAAGTAAAACTAAAGCTTTAGAAGCATTAGAAAACATTGGAAACATTTTTCTGAGAACGATTAAAAACTAAATAAGTTTGGAATAGAAGAGATATATATTTTAATGACGTATTATTTAAGGATATGAAGGAAAAATATATCGAAGTAAAAAAGTTATTAAGTATGGAAAGTGAAGAACCCGAATCAGAAGATACAGAAGAAATATTAGTCACAAAGACCAAAAACGAAGACAAATTAGAAATTATTATAAAAGAAACTGACGAAAATTGGGAGATGTCGATACATTTAATTAAAAAATTAGATGGAACAACTCATCGTATGTTACACAATATACCTAACACTTATGCACGAAATTTATTAATACAATCAATAGAAAAATATTACGAAGACCTACAACTTATATTGAAAAAATTAAAGGACGAGCAAACTAGTCGTTTACAAAAAGTGTATAAACTAGAGACACTAAAGAGCGAAATTGAAATAATATTAAATATTAAAGCCACTAATGACGAAAGAAATCAATCCAATACGCAAATAATTCAACCAACCGT